TATCAACTGCAATGAAATAGACTATAGTAACATGAAAAGTTAAGTGAAAATTATCGATAATTTTTGGGAAACTTGTAAGTCGAACGCACAAAAAGAAAACGAGTGCACGTCAAAACTAAAAATTAATTAAATAGGTAGGTGGTGGTTCTCTGAGCCGATAATAAGTTATCGGTACCTATCTAATAATTATCCCGTAATTTCAAGTGTGATTGGTCTGTCAGGATCTACCGCTCGTTTAATTAATTGTTATATTCAACAGATGAAAGTATCCCTCTTTCACGCTTTACGTAGCTACCTACTATTTCAATTTTTTTCATTATGTAGACGGACTAACATTGACGTCATGGATATTGTTTGTCTTTTATGTTGCAATATATTTACGGCGGAATCACCTTGTGTTAAAAAGCCAACCAAACAGTGCTTCGCGACCATTTTTTTCTGCAGCAGATAAAAGAGAAGATGCTATTTCTTTACAGATATTGTCACGAAGAAAAGAAAGAAACGCTAATCCCGAAAGATTCAAATACACTGTGATATTTTGCATCCGCAGCGAAAAGATCAGTATACAAATTCATTCTACCTTGCATAACATCATTATTTGTATAGCGCTTGTAAAATTCTTTTCTCGGGTACTACTCCTTGTACCTGCTGTACATTAGTACATCTATTAAGATATATTAAATTTTTCTTTTTATTGGTGCCGCTTTTACCACAAATTAAGCAGTCAGCTTTTATATTAAACTTCTTCCTATCACTACGACCGCTGCCTGATGGAAATACTTTGGTTATGTTTGGATTATTTAATTTCACTACCTTGTCAATATTATTTTCTCTGCAAAAATATTTTCTGCAACTTTTATGATAGGTATTTGAATCTTTCGGGACTAGCGTTTATTTCTTTTCTTCGTGACAATATCTGTGAAGAAATAGCATCTTTTTTTTTTCTGCTGCTACACAGCTATAGTTGTTTTTGAGCCAATATCTCTAGATTGATTACTTCAATTTGTTTGCTAGGATATTCGCTCGTCAGGGTAGGAAAATGTTAGTAAATTCAACAAGGCCCTAATGCACGCTCTAAATCCAAAAATTAAAATCCTAGCACAAAAAGACAGCACATAATTTTACTAGGTTTTAATTTAGTCTTTATCGGTGTTGCTTACAGCATGAAATGATTTTTGTTAAATACATGAACAATGCACATGTTATAAAAAATGTTATAAACAAACAAAAAAACATAAAAATGAAAAAATGATACTTGTATAAATAATTGAACTCTCAAAAACAAAATAACAAATTATTCAACTGACCTGTGGATGCTCCTTTTGACACATAAACTAATCACAAATTGAATTGAACAATCAGTTTAATACAAAATAAAAATAATAATTGAATAATCAACAATGGCGAACAAACGTCTTAAGGGACCAGCCCAGAGCCCCGCTTCTTCTCTAGTCTAGTCGCTCTTTTCTTATCTCCCCTTCGGTAACATTTTCCGTGGCGCGCCGCCGTTCTCATCAATTTCACAGAGCATTACATAGTTGCAACATTTACTTTTATTCAGTAAACGTTTTTTAAAAAGTTAAGATTCAAAGAAATAATATTTTAAATAGGTGGTTTTCCTCAATACAACAGCATATAAAATCAAAAGGAAGAAAAAGGAACGCCTGAAAGAGGCATATATCCAATGGACTGAATGATGATAATTTAATAAGTAAACGACATGCTGTCTATCCAACTGTAGTGAATGCAGCGCCGGCGTTATATCTCCGACTTTCGTGGAGCTAAGTACCCCAGGACTTTTTGATAACACGATAATACCGTAAAGCACTATGACCTTCCATGTTGTAGGTATTTCAAAAATCAATGACAACCGTAAATATCCCAGAAAGCTACAAATTGTCATTTTACTATCCTCATTTCTTCTAGGGAACTAAAATGCACTCGACCTGAATCCCAAGAAACGCCCTAAATTTTGTATAGCATGTAAAAGTATAATTTTCTTTTACAATAGAGATTAAACATTTAGAGGTTCTGTTTTCTGAAAGTTATCACGCAAAGTATTTAGAGAGTCGTCTCTAATGAAATTCCCTCTGGGGGGTAGTTTAGATTTGGTCCAAAGCGTGTCAGAGAATTATTTTTGTAAGGATTTGAATCACAAATTGAACTTGCTACAATTTATAGATTTTGTGCATGAAGTATTAAAAATCCGGTTCTGATTTTTTTTCTCGTTTTTCAAACCCATAATTTAAAGAAAACTTTACGTCTTTCTATCACAGGGAAATTTCATTCAGTTTTTAATTAGAAGGAGCGCAGCAAAAATAAAACTCCTGAATAAAAGTTTAATGAAGCTTCACAAACACATTTTTTTTTTTATCGCGAAATGGGACTTGGAGTAATGTGTAATTTCGAAATTACCCCCCGGTTGAGTTCATTAGGCGTGACCTGTGACCTCTGCAGATTATTGACAGATCGTAGGGCGAGGGCAATCTAAAAATAGCCCTTTAATATTATAGCAATAGTAATCTTATTGAATCTGGATGCAAAAGGAAATGTGAGCCTTTTAAAATGCTTCTTCTAGGAATCGTAATGTCGAGACGGAGAGGATTAAGTATTTCGGAAGATGGGGAGATATGTAAGAATATGTATCTGCTACTTATTTTGGTGTTATCATTCATATTTCACTTTATTACCTATCTATCTAGTGGTAATAAATAGCACACACTAAAGTTCTCATAGAAAATTTTATGTTGGTATTCATACACATGTTATAAAAAGAAAATTGGCCATGACCTCTTAACACGATCCTGTATATGGTTTTATGTCATACTTGAGTGAGAATCGAACTTTAATCAAGGGGGGGGCCAATCAATTTATGGAGATTTGCTTTTAGCGAAGTGTTTTGCATTCACTTAATTATCCTGTTCCGGCGAATATCCGTAACTCTTTTCACAGCGATAAAAATTATCTCAAATTGAAGAGACGGCGAATTAAAACTCAAATCATATATTTTTTTTTAGAGTGCTATCGCCGCCATTAGGCCAATGGGTCAATGTTTTATGTAAACAAATTCTTCTTCCTTTACTTTACCATAAGACGATATAAGTGATAAGCATGATATATTTGCTTGGGCGTCAGGTTCTTGGCATATTCGGTAGCATGTCATGTGTCCTTTGACATCTCCTGTAGAGAGGCGACAGACTTTCGGTATTCAAAATTCTAGACACTCACACTGTAAGCTCACAGACTGTCGTATCAACTTGCAATTGGCGCAAGTGGCATTGGGCTCATCCTCTATGGTGGCCTCTGAGAGTATACAAAAACTAGATGTGTGGCACACTTTACGCACATTTCAGAGAACGCACATGTGGCCTGCGTCATCTGTGCAATTAGATTTTTTTCTACTAGACCTCAAAAATATCTTGATTCTCCATATTCGTATTGCATCGGTCTTGACACAGAAGGGCGGGCGGCTTCAGTTAATTCCTTGTTTGTCAGTCATATGACTTTTGCGTCTCTATAGTTCTCAATTTTTCTGCTATCCCTGCAATAGAGGCGTATCGATTGGTAGTCAGCGTATTACCGCATAAAGCTTATCTTTCCTGACTGGAGCTGGCACGTGAAGTGCCTGCTGGTGGCGCTTTCGCTTTTCGTGCGCCTTTACCTGACTTCTTGATTGGTTTGCTGTGGAAGAGCCTGCTGGTTTTTTTCGCTTTATAGGTATTACTATATCATGTTTGAGCCTCATGATTTGGCACTCCAAGCTCAGCGACAGGTCCATCATCTCCTCCATGTCCTTGGCTGGAGCAGCGATGACCGCTTGCATCTCCATCTTCTTCCCTGTCATCTCCATGAACTTTTTCAAGGACTTGGTCTTTTCGTTCTGATCTGACGTTCCTAGTCAACGTAACTGAGCATGGTTGAATAATAAAAAATCACAAGACCAGATCATTACACCCGGTTGAAAATCGCGTTTTCTGAAATTAGCTCTCAAAGGATGTGCTGTCACTTCGAACCAATTGTTCACTAAACGAGTTCTTAATCCATGTTTAAATGTTAATTTTTTATCAGATTTGAAAATTATGGCTAATCAGTCTGAAGTGACTACATGTATCATTCTTCCTCATTATCCCGTACTTTCAATATTTCCATAGGTACCTCATCCGGCCTAGTTGCCTTGTTATTTTTAGCCTGCTTCTTGGCTTTCTGCACTTCGGATTTCAAACAATCTACTCTTCCGAGATCTCAACAACATTGATTCCTATCAATTTGAGGTTTGTGGTCCAAATCTCGACAAGCAATTGAACAAAAATTTACTGAGGCTCAGTCGTGCAGAAAATACATAAAACCTTAATTAAGCAGCACCTCTTCCCATAGTATGGAAAACTCTTATAAAAATTAGGCCAAACTTCTCAATTCAGCCTCCACGGTAAAAAGAATGAAGAGGGACCATCAAGTGATCGCCAACGATTCCGCATCATTCTAAAAATTACATTTGATTTTTATTGCGGCTTTCCATGAGGACTAATATTTAGTTCTGCAACAATCTTTGTTGCAATGTTGCAAGACATTCGTCGATTTTGTGCAGTAAATAACTTTTCTTCTATTTGTGGATTTGAAAATTCTTGGATTTTACTTCGAAATGTTCGATGAATTTTGAGCCGCCTTTTGCTGTGTTATATTCTAAAGATCGTCCTTGTTCTACGACTCTATCTTGCATCGTTCACTTCTTCCATGCCCGTTACAGTCTGGAAAAGGCTTCATTGAGCCCTGAGAGTCTATGAGGACCCAGTCGTTGCAGTATCATTCGTAAACATTGAATCATCATACAGGGGTCGGATATAAGAGGCAATATGTCAATTTACATTTTTACAACGCAACGTTTTTTTTTTTTTTTCATCATGTTTTCTTCAATCACCAAATACTTTAGCATGATATATGTTAGTTTTTGTAGTAACCTATATAGTTTTCAATTTTTGAATTACTAACTTTTCTTTTTCAAGGTACTCCCCCATCTCAAAGGGTGCAATTCATATTAGGAGAAGACATGGGGGATGCGAAGCATGAAAGTCACCCTCTATTTTCGGAAATGGAGGAATTGTTCGTTGATGGGGACGACATGGAATGGAAAGAAACAGCTAGATGGGTCAAATTTGAAGAAGCTGTAGAAGAAGGTAAGCAACAATAAATTAATCCGAACTAACAATTTACATATTTAATAATGAAGAAGTAGATCATATCTCAAAGTGTTCCTCCACAAATGGTTTATTCGTTTTAAAAAACGGCCCAACATGTTTCGAAATTAGTAAATCCCATCATCAGGGGCAATAAATGAGCTCATATATTAACAGGGTTGAATATCATAGGACTCATAGGCTGCCAAATCATTTATTTATTTATTTATTTATTTATTTATTTACGTATAAAAAAATATATACATTTGAAGTGGTACAAAGTTTAAACCTAAAATAATCTAAAAAACTAACCTAAATCTAACACGCGACCTCAGCGTACACTTAGCTGTTAGAAAAAATCTACGCGACCAACTATGATTGAAATACCAAGACTTAATTGCATTTATCAAAATAAAGTTAAGGATGGTAAAGTACCTACATTATCTGCCAACCAAAAAATTATATGAACAACGTTAATGCTTCTTTAAGTTGATTTAAAACAAACACAAAAAGTGTTCCTATAGGTTTTTTACGTTATATTTAGGATGATGTCGTAGAACAAGGACTGACAATGTTGTCAATGCCTATTTTTTTTTTTTTTAATTTACCAGAATGTAATAATAAATTATCAAGACCACTGACAGCTAGAAATAACAAAATGAATCGACACGTGTTATTTATTTGAAAATGTTTATTCAAATCATACAACGTTGCGTGTCGTTGTCAACCGGTAACATCTAAAATTCCCCTACTTTAAATGCGTTAAGAAGTACTTTCAGTTTAGTTAGGTAGATACCTAGGTAAAACGTATCAAAATAAGTGAACTAAAAATCAAAGTAAGATTTAATAACAACAACAAAGTGACCTAAAAGTTAAGTAATAAACAACGTAAACTAAAAAAATTAATAAAGAACGGCCGATAATCGAAGTTATTTAATTAATAGCTAGTAAGCCCTCCCCTCACATTCACAACCTCTTGGCATTGTCGTGGCATGTTGTCAACCACGAGATTAATGAATGCCTGAGGGATATTTTGCCTCTTCTTCTATGGCAAGGGCGAACTCATCCAGCGTTTGGGACCATTTTCGCGCGATCGTACCAGTAACTTAAGCTGAGACCACACAAGATCAGGAGATTTTGGAGGCAAGTATAACTGTTGCATGTTATGCTCCCCCAAAAGCTCCTAAACAATTCTTGCTTTGTGTGGTCTCGCATTATGGTCAACCATGAAGAAATGCTCCCCAATATTTTCTGCATATGGAATAACAATGTCATTTATTATGTGATTCCGATAAATTACGGCGTTAACAGTACCCCGTGAAATGTATAAGTCGGATCTATCGTTGTACATTACTCCGGCCCAACAACCCTCCTCCCCCAAAGGTTTCCTGAGAAGCCATGTTGTCTTCTTCAAATCGCTCCCCAGGTTGCCTCCATACTAACACCCTACCATCGGAGTGTATCAGGTTGAACCGCGTTTCGTCGCAAAGGAAACACTTTCGCCACTCATGTAATGCCTTGATTAACAGAAAATGAAAGGAATAATTAGCCTATTCGCCTTTTAAATGAAGAGTTAAGCTAAAGATATGTAGCGCGAATATATTCGGTAAGCGGCAGCACTATAAATTACCTAAAGCAGCTTTTTCGCCTGAACGGTCATGTCCGCTATGTGCACAGAGGTGGGGGCGGTGGGGCCCCTAGGATAATTGCGGGATGAGCAGCATGAACTCTATTAAGAGAAGTTCACAATTACCGAACTTCATGCTCTAGTGTTTTGAATGATAGCCTAAGAAGACACACTGGTATAGTGGCCTCTAACAGGACCGTTAGAAGAACGCTAGCGCGAGCAAAATGTGTTAACCTTTTGCCAAACCATAGAAGACTTGGTGTCGAATGAGCCACCGATAAATTGGCATGGAATGACGAATATCGGAATTGTTTTTTTTTTTTGACGAAACGCGGTTCAACCTGATACACTCCGATGGTAGGGTGTTAGTATGGAGGCAACCTGGGGAGCAATTTGAAGAAGACAACATGGCTTCTCAGGAAACCTTTGGGGGAGGAGGGTTTAATGTTTGGGCCGGATTGATGTACAACGATAGATCCGACTTATACATTTCACGGGGTACTGTTAACGCCGTAATTTATCGGAGTCACATAATAAATGACTGTATGTGCATCTCTTCAAGAGTGTCAAAGTCACGAATTTTGCTCATATTGAAAAACCATACAAATTCAAATAGGTATAGCGCCTCCTATGCAGGGAACAACAGCGCCCTCGGTATGGAACCGAGGTCGACAAAAAAGGTACGAAAAACACTCGATTCGTACAGCCAAGCGACTGCGAAACACTCTCTCTCTTTTCGCCAAACACGAAACACGAACACACATTTTTTAATCCGTTTTCGCACACAAGAAAGTCGATGAATATCGCGAGCTCGCCGGTTACCGGTTTCGAAATAAAAGCCGGTAGTGTTGTGCAACCGAAACAAAACCCGGGATCCCGGTATTAACAATTAACTTTGAACTAGAAAAACCCCAGAACCACAGGTAAGGCGCCTTTTATCATATTGTCTTTTGTATGGTTATTTTTTTGCTACATATTCATTAGTTGCGCTTACAGTCCACGTAACACCGGAGGTGATTCTAAAATATCAACCATTACGCCAACATTTTCTGTTCCTACGAGCCAAATTTGAACCTTTTTAGAATCAAAAATCATAATTAATATAATTATTAGCAAAAATCGCCATATAAAGCAAGTTTTTTATGTGCAGGTTTGTGCGCCTAAACTGTCGCTATCCATTATTCTCTATTTTTGAGGAATTTCAAGGCCACTGAAACCGGCTGTAAAACTTATCGCTGAGGCACCTACCTTATTAAAAATAAATTTATTTAAATTTCGAAAATAAACGAAAAAAGAAATAGTTGTTTACTAATAAAAAACCCAATTATTTCCGATAAGTTTAAGCATTGCAGTGCACAAATAGATACATTGGGGCTAATAATGAGATTGTAATGATTGTATTACTTAATTTCAAAATAATTTTTCGCTATATTTAATTTTATAATTTTCGCTTTTCGACGATTTACAGGTTTTACATTACAGCCTGCAAATCCAGGTATATACCTTATTCTTAGGTATATACCCTATTTCATAGATTCTTTGCTTTGAAAAAGACTTTCTTAATTTTTCAATTATTTTCTTGGCATTTCGATCAACATGCCGGAAACTGAGGCGGCAAACGCTGCGCTTATCAAAAAATTAACTAAAAAACGTTACGTCTGTGCTAGCCGAATTACACAAACGTACACGGTTGCACAAAAAGCCAAAACTAGTGACTCTCAAAAAGCACTGCTTAAAGTAAGGTTTGAGAATTTGGAAGAATCTTATTCTGATTTTCAAAAATATCATAATGAAATCATTGGTATAATTGATGATAAGGAATATGACCAGCAGGATGCTGTCAGAAAAGACGCAGATAGTTATTATTTTGGGTCAAAACAGGTTTACTTTGAATTATTTCCACCTAGTAGCACACCAGGTAGTTATGTTTTAGCGCCAAATGAATCAAACCAGGCAAGCTACACCGCGAAGTTACCAAAATTAACTATTCCGAATTTTGATGGCAATTTACAATATTGGACAACATTTTATGACATGTATAGATCCATGGTACATGATTCTACATTGCCCAACATTTCCAAATTTCAATATCTAATTTCATTATTAAAGGGTGAGCCCCTTAGTTTAATAAAGTCCATTCCTACTACGGATGCTAATTATGCAATAGCTTTTAAAACTCTCACAGATCGCTATCAGAATAAACGGCATTAAGCTACAAACTACTGGAATGCAATTAATAATACTTCCACTCAAAAAACAAATTCTTCCAAAGACTTAAGAAACCTACTGGATACTTTCAATGAAAATGTGGCCGCGCTCGAGGTGTTGGGATTTCCAACCAACCAGTGGTGTTTTGTTCTTTTCACCATGCTGCTTACAAGGCTAGACTCAGCTACAAGAATGGCATTTGAAATAGAGCATAGCAAAATTGAGTTACCCACTTATCTACAGCTTACCACTTATCTCGAAAGTCATTGTAGGGCCCTCGAATCAGTCCAAATGAGTTCACCATGTCCAATAAATCTCAACAGGTCCCAAAAACCTCAAAACCCATATCACCAAAGTAATTTGAAGTCTGGTAACTATTCTGGTACGCCTGGACACTGAGGAGCTCAAAGTCTAGTAGCGAACACTGAATCAAATGCTCACGACTCTCAAATACGACAAAATAACCCGCAATCAATCCCAAATATCGCTAATATGGCTGCTCAGTCCTCATCTCATGATCCTGCTAAGTATAAATGTCGATTATGTCAGCAACCTTTTCATTCATTATCGCAATGCCCTCAATTTCTAGGTAAAACCCCGTCAGGGCGTCTAGCTTACGTTAAGCAAGCCAACGCTTGCATCAATTGCTTAAGGTCTACTCATAGGCTAAAAGATTGTCCATCCACCTTTAGTTGTCGGATATATCACGTCAAACACCATACTTTGCTTCATTTTCCCAAAAACACTGGGCAAACCAGTCACCACGGTCAAACGCCTTCCTCATCGGGTACACCTGCCTCTATTGTCAGTCCATCGCAAATGGAAAGTCCCCATAGTGCACAACTACAGCAATCACTCAGTTGCGAGTGTGCAGCGATGGCTACCTCCATTCCTCAAACCACTGTCCTCCTTTCTACTACAAAGATTGAGGTGCTTGACTCGAGAGGCAATTATCAGATTATCAGAGCCGTTTTAGATTCAGCCAGTCAGGCCAACTTCATAACCCAAAAGTGTCTCCATAGCCTGGGTTTATCCAGGAAAGAATGTCACATTCCGGTCGTCGGAATAAGTCAATCGACTTCCGACACTTGTGGCCTTACAAGTTGCACCATTAAGCCTATCGGCAAAACTGACCCTGTCTTTTCGTTGGAGGCATTAGTTCTAT